GAAGAAGATGAGTCAGAAATCACAAACACAGATCAAAGATTTCAGGGGGAACTGCGGCAAGTGTTTTTGTACATGTGTGGAGTTGTTGTGGTTCAATGCGAGGAAAGTGCTAAGCGTCTTTTACGAAATGTTACTGATCATGTAAATGTGCTAGGTGCGAATTCTAAATTTGAAGAAGTTAAGGGAAACTTAGAATTAGCAATTTCTTTAATACAGGAATGTGTCAAAAGTAAGAAAAGCCTTCGGTCCCAGTTACTTCATGTGTTTGGGGCTCACCTGCAACTTAAGATCTGTACCTCAGTAATGATTCCGCCGCAATCACACTTTTTCTTGGAAAGTCTTTCATCCAATACCTTTTTGAATGAATTGAAATTAAGTCCATCGACACATACACTTGGTGAGGTAGACGTTGCTCTTATCTCTCGGGCCCTTTCAGTCAATACTACATTGACCAAGTTAGTCTTAGATCGTAATAATATTGGCGAGTCTGGTGCTGCTTCTCTCTCTCAGGCTCTTTCAGTCAATACAACATTAAACCAGTTGGACTTAGGTGGGAATAATATTGGTGCTTCTGGTGCTGCTTCTCTCTCTCAGGCTCTTTCAGTCAATACTGGATTAAACCAGTTGGACTTACGTGGGAATAATATTGGTGCTTCTGGTGCTGCTTCTCTCTCTCAGGCTCTTTTAGTCAATACTGGATTAAATCAGTTGGACTTAGGTGGGAATAAGATTGATGATTCTGGTGCTGCTTCTCTCTCTCAGGCCCTTTCAGTCAATACAACATTAAGCCAGTTGAACTTATGTGGGAATAAGATTGGTGATTCTGGTGCTTCTTCTCTCTCTCAGGCCCTTTCAGTCAATACAACATTAAGCCAGTTGAACTTAGGTGTGAATAATATTGGTGCTTCTGGTGCTGCTTCTCTCTCTCAGGCCCTTTCAGTCAATACAACATTGAGCCAGTTGAACTTAGGTGGGAATAAGATTGGTGATTATGGTGCTGCTTCTCTCTCTCGGGCCCTTTCAGTCAATACAACATTAAGCCAGTTGGACTTACTTTGGAATAATATTGGTGCTTTAGGTGCTGCTCTTCTCTCTCATGCTCTTTCAGTCAATACAACATTAAACCAGTTGGACTTAGGCGTGAATAATATTGGTGATTCTGGTGCTGCTTCTCTCTCTCAGGCTCTCTCAGTCAATTCTACATTGACCAAGTTAATCTTAGATCATAATAATATTGGTGATTTTGGTGCTGCTTCTCTCTCTCAGGCCCTTTCAGTCAATACAACATTAAGCCAGTTGAACTTAGATGGGAATGATATTGTTGATTCTGGTGCTGCTTCTCTCTTACTTAGGCCCTTTCAGTCAATACTAGATTAAACCAGTTGGACTTAGATGGGAATCAAATTGGTGCTTCTGGTGCTGATTCTCTCTCTCAGGCTCTTTCAGTCAATACTGCATTAAACCAGTTGG